CTTTTCAATCTATATGCAGTCATTTGGGATGCTGGACTTTATAAGGAGGAAAGTGGCATCAGGATTAGAGGAAGACTCACCAACAACTTGTGTTATGCAGATGACACAACCTTGCTTGCAGAAACTGAGGAAGACCTGAGGTGTCTGCTGCAGAAGGTCAAGGACTGCAGTCTTCAATATGGACTGACGCTTAAGATCAAGAAAACAAAGGTTCTCATGATTGGGCCAACTAGCAGCACTATGATAGACAGAAAAGAGACTGAGATTGTTTACAATTACAGCTTGCTTGAGTCGACAATCAACATTCTTGGAACTAGCAATCAGGAAATCAAAAGACAAAATTGCATGGGGAAATCTGTTGTCAGGGACCTCTCTAGAGTCCTGAAGAGCAAGTGTGGAGACTAAAATGGGTCTGATACAGGTCATGGTCTTTGGAATTACTTGCTACACATTGGAGAGCTGGACACTGAATGCGTAAGGATGACAAGAACTGATGTCTTTGAGTTGTGGTGCTGGAGAAGAGTGTTGAACACACATTGACTGCAAAGAAAACAGGTCTGTCTGGGAGAGAGTGAAATCAGGCTGCTCCATGAAGGCAAAGATTTTGAAACTCCATCTCACATACTTTGGGCACGTTCCCAGGAACGTCCTTAGTAGGACATCATGCTTGGAAGGGTACAGAATAGGAGTGGAAGACCCTGGATGAGACAGACTGACTCAATGACTGGGGTAAAGGGAGTATATCTGTCAGAGACAATGAGTGACTCAGGATAGCGCAGTGTTCAGAGCTATTTTATATATGGTTGCTATCAGTGCATATAACACAACAATGTGAATAACAAATCATAACTTTGCCTTATCCTTCACCACCTTCACCATATCTGCCATTACCAAGTCCACTGTTGTAGTCAATTAATTTCATTGATAGTCTTCCTGTCTTACACTGATCCTTTATCTTTTCTAGCATGATAACCTTTTCTAGGGACTGGACCTTTCTGACACCATAACTAACTTATGTGAGACCTAGTCTCCCCATCCTTGCCTTAAAGAGCTACTGATCATTCTTCTTCCAAGATAGATTTATTTGTTCTTTTGTCAGTCCATGGGATATTTAATACTCTTTACAAAGACCACAACTCAAAGATTCTTCTTCAATTTTCTTTATTCACTGTCCAACTTTCACATGCATAAGAAATAACTGAAAATATCACGGCTTAGATCAGGCACACATTAATGTTGAAATGACAGCTTTGCTCCTTACTAACAGATTTTTCACAATGCAACACATCTTTTGACTTCTTGACTGTTGTCTTCATGGGTGTTGATTGTAGATCCAAGTAAAATGAAGTCAATGACAATTTCAATCTTTTCTCTATCAAAACTCTGCTTACCAGTGGTAAGGATTTTAGTTTTATTGATGCTGAGAAGTAATCCATATTGAAGGTTGTAGTCTTTGAACTTCTGCAGCAAGAATTTAAATTCTCCTCACTTTTAGCAAGCAAGGTTATATCATCTGCATAACCAAGGTTGTTGATGGGTCTTCCTCAGATCTCAATGCCCCATTCTTATTTACTTAGTCCAGTTTCTAAAATTGTTTGTCCAATATACAAATTGATTAGGTATTGAGAAAGTATGTAATTTTGGCACACACTTTTTCTGATCTGAAACAATGCAGTATCCTCCTATTCTGTTCAAATGACTATTTCTTGGTCTATAACGAGCACAATTAAGTGTTCTGGGATACCTATTCCCAATGTTATTCACAACTTAATAGTACCTAAGAATTATCAGTTTCTCAGGCTAGAAGCCTGATTTCAGTGTGCTTGCTCTAAGGGAATCATATAGACCCTGGAAGCTGTGTCTTTTCAGCTTCCTTCCTAACTGAGCGTCACATGATGGGGTATCTGTTTCTCCAGCTCTCGTGTGCCCTTCATTATGTTCAATCTCAAAGAAGAATGACTGAGTCACAACTTAATTAATACTGTTTACTTATCATGCCAAGAACAATAAGTCCCAAATGAGATTAGAACCACAGGTATAGACTGAACACACTTTTTTTAATACTCTTCAATATATAATGAGCATGTAAATAAAATTAAAAGAAAAAAAAAGAGGGCTTCCTTTACACAATGTTTTATGGGATGAATACTCCCTGCTTTTTCATGTCCTTGTGTGCTTTATATATTATACAGCTGACAGACACTCAGACACCAGAGCAGAGTTACCACCAGGAACTAACTTTAACTCCAAGAAAATAATTTGCAAACCCCCTGATGTCCTTGTTCTGCTTACATAGCTGGAGTGTGTTCCAGGGTGAAAGTCAAGTTTATACCTGCTGCTGAGAGACTAGATAATACTATCATGATCTTATTTTAGGGGGACTTTGGAAGTAGCCTCAATGCCAAGTCCACAGGCAACTTGAAAAGATCCTTATCTGACATAGGAGGTCAGCAGGGAGATGGACAGCCCAGACGTACTGAGGCATGAGATAAGGGCAAGGACCTTGCCAGGGGTGGCCCACTGACAAGGGACTCTGACTTCATCTTCAAAGCTTTCACAGAGTTGATGATGTGCGGCTTGTTCTGGGTGTGAAGTCAGAAGAGTGCATGGCAGGCTATGAGGAAAGTGGCTATTTGACTAAATGTTCATCTTCCAATAGGGCTGAGTCTGTAGGGAGCAGGACAGGCCTATCGGAGAGGAAAGGAAGTGCTGGCATAGCATGCCTGAGAATACAGGTGGATGTGGGGAAAGAAGTGAATGACTAGAAAGAAAAACAAAGAACCCTCTGAACTACTCTTGGAGTACATAAAAAAGGAAGTCCAAGTTGTAGGATGCACAATAGGGTCTAAATCACAGGGTCAGCTCAGTCACATATACTAGTCTCTCTCCACTCCCAGCTCCAATGCTCAGGCCAGTCATCTGGTTCTAAAACATTCTGGGGCATTCTCAAGCTTCACCACTTACATCCAGTCACTCCTGTCCCTCAGCTCCACTACACAGACAAAGCCACTTAGAGCTGGCCTCAGGTCCTCAGTTGAATAATGGGAATAACATCTGTACAAGCTTATTGGGCTGTTTTGAGAAAGCATGAACACACAGAAATCATGCCAAAATATTTTTGTTAGGTGCTGTTGAGTACAAAGTACAATCATAGAAACTCTATGAATAGCCACCCTGAACCCAGTCCTATCCTGTGCCATTCTCATCATCTCTGACAAACCCACTGATGAAGTCCCCATATCAATCCATCTCATTGTGGGTCTTCCTCTCTTTTGCTGACCTCCATCTTTGCAAGCATGATGTCCGTTTCCAAGGAACAGCTTCATTCAGTTATGTGTCCAAAGTATGAAAGGTGACGTTTTATCATCCTTGCCTCCGAGGAACGTTCTGGCTGCAGTTTTCCCAAAATATATCTATCTGTTCTTTTTGCAGTCCATTGGGTATTCAGTACTCTTCTCTAGTACCACAACTCAAAGGCATCAATTTGTCTTCTGTCATCCTTATTCATTATCTAGCTCTCTGATGTGTATCATGTGATTGAGAAGATCATGGCTTGAATCAGGCATACCTTAGTCTTCACACTGACATCATTGCTCTTCAGCATTTTGGAAAGATCTCTTATAGCAGATTTTCCCAATGCAGTGTGTGTCCTGATTTCCTGACTGCTGGTACCAAGGGTATTTACTGTTGATCCAAGCAAGATTAAATCACTGTCAGCTTCAATCCTTTCTCCATCTATCATAATGTTGACTTTTGGTCCTGTAGTGAGGGCCTTTGTTTTTCTTGATGTTGAGATAAAATCTATATCGAAGGCTGTAGTCCTTAATCTTCCGCATCAAGTGCTGCATATGCTCCTCAAGCAAGCAAGCAAGCAAGTTGGATCATTTGCACTATCCAGATTTTTGATGAGTCTTCCTCCAAACCTGATGCCACATTCTTCTTCACAGAGTTCAGCTTAGGGAATTATTTGCTCAGCCTACAGTCTGAATAAGTATGGAGAAAGTACACAACCCTGATGCAAACCCTTCCTGATTTTAAACCATTGTTTCCTACGGACAGCAGCTTTCTGGGTCTAGGTATATATTTCATATGAGCATAATTAGTGTTCTAAGACCCTCATTTATCTTAATGTTAGCCTTACTTTGTTACAATCCACACAATCAATTGCCTTTGCATAGTGAAAAAAACCCCACAAATAGACATTCTTCTGGTATTCTCTGTTTTTAGACAATCTAACTGACATCAGCAATGATATCCTTGGTGCCATGGCCTCTTCTAAACTCATCTTGACGTTCCAGTAGTTCTCTGTCAATGTACTGTTCTAGTAATTTTTTAATGATCTTTAGCAATATATTGCTTGTATATGATATTAACGACATGATTTGATAGTTTCTACATTTTTTTAGATCACTTTTATTGGGAATGGAAATAAATATGTATCTCTTCCAGCCAGTGGGCCAGAAGAATTTTATAAAACAACATATGATTAAGAAGCAATAGTGATGAAGGAGGAAATCCAAGCTACTCTGAAGGAACTGGCAAAAAACAAGGCCCCAGGAATTGATGGAATATCACCTGATATATTTCAACAAACAAATACTGCCCTGGATGTGCTCTCCAGGTTGTGCCAAGAAATCTGGAGGATAACTGCCTGGCACTCTCAAAAGACCACATTCAAAAGCAGGGAAGGGGAATTCCAGAGTTCAGGTGCCTGCAGGCTCTTAGAGCTTTAGTGTCTCATTTATCCAAATAGTCACAGTGATCTGTGAATTACTCCAGAGAACTGAATCTTCAAGCCTGAAAGGATTCTGTATAGTTTTTCTGAAGTGTTTTAGAAATCATAGGCCCATCTTGATCTTCATATTTGGAATATTTGTCAAATTAAAAAAAATACCCTAGTATCAAGCAAAAGAATGACTATGTAAGAAAGGAACTGAGAGTAAGTTCCTCTATACACTCCCCCTCATCCCTTACTCACATGCATCCAGGGCTGTGCTCACCTGTTTGGCTGTGGACTGGCTCTGGCTTGGGGGCAAGGAGCCTGGGCACCGGACTGGGGAGCCCCCAGCCCCACAAAGCTCTGGGAAGGGATTGGGGATGGCTGGCAGAGATGAGGTCCTAAACTGCTGGTCTTCTTCCTGGAGGCGCCTGGGGAAGAGAGACAACTGCTCGTGAGAAGCTGCACTTCTCAGGCCTTGTTCATGGGAATGGGCATGGGTGTGTAGAGATGTGTTCAACCATATCTAAAAGCATCCCCAAATGTGAAAGCACCCCATCATGCTGTAGGGAGCATACTTGTCCCCAAGGCCTCATCAGAGAGTTGCTGGCCTGGAGTGTGGAGATGGTCTACAGGAACACTTATCTGAGACGGATGACTTCCTGTGACTGTGAAGTGAATGTTTATCTAACAAAATGAAAAGACAAGAGGCTTCCCAACTCCTTATCTGAACTATAGAGCAGATACTTGTTGATACTGAATAGATCAGAATGAGAAACTTTATGTCCCATTTTCCCTTGTGAGCTGCCTGCTTGGCCCCAGCCACCATCACTGAGGAGTAGTTCTGAGCCCTACATCATTACCTTTAGTCTTCCTCTCATATCTCCAGGGACACCTGTTCCTTCCAAAAATGCAAAACCCACTGGTTACAGAACCAAGCCAACAAGATACAGGACCATAAACTAGGCACCACCATGAAGTAGAAGGTAATTTAAGATGCAAGTCCAAGTGAAAGCAATGAGGACTGCTCCCCAATTCTATCCTCATTCTGCTGGGCTGGCTTTGGCACTGGCTCCTTCTCTCTCCCATCTCTGTTCACCTGGGGCTAGCCTAGGTGGTATTGACTCTCTCTGTCTCTTAGGTCTGCTAATCCACTGGAATGACCCAAGAGTTGCAGGAACAAGGCTATGCATAGACTAGAAGAGAAAGGATGCACTTAGGATGAGGTATGAGAGGGATGCCTCAGTAGAGCCTCTACATCTCCAAGGGACAAAACTGTTCTCTGACATACAGCAGACATTCACTCTGTGTCCAGAGGCACCAGTGAACCTCCATTCTTCACAGCCTCTACTGGCCTCCTGGCACAGCCATAACAAATTACATCATGTCTCTGGAGCATGGTCAGCTTGGGGCTCCCCACTGGCCCCCCTTGGTCTGGTCACTCCCCATTCTGGCTCATAGGAACCAGAGTCAAAGGTCTAGTAGTTTACAGATGGGAGTTCCAAATCTCACAACTAACTTTCTTGGGAGTTATGCACTTCGAGACCATCTGACTCTTTCTTATCAATTATCCATGACTTTCATGAAGGTCCTGTCGTGCCATTCCAGGTGGACCAGGAGATGATATAAAGATTATAAAACATGTTGTTCAGAAACCAACCAGAGGAAGAGATAATGTTTCATTCTGTATGCTAGTGTTAACTGCTGTAATATAATGGTTTGCTCTGGATTGGAACTCTGTTTATAGATGCAGATGCTCAAAGTTTCAAATGTAGTAGAAGATTCTTCAGAGAAAGAGATATGCTTGTTTCCTGATAGTACTGGTTTGCTAGGAAAGAGCAAATCAGGACTTGGCTACTTAAAAAGGGGAGATTAAGGCATGTGGCATCAAGTTGGTGGCCTATACACTTTCATGAATGTGGATGATGCTAAGGGGAATGTTGACCCTTTGGATATGAAGGGCAATGGCTACAAAAACCAAGCAGTGATATATTGTGTTAAGACTTTTGATAATGGCTTTTCTATCCATTGTCTTAGGCCCTCAACGCCATAGGCATGTGATCTCCAAGTGCTTCAACTTCAGACACATGTTTTACCCTGGATCAACATCTTCAGTATCATCAAAACCTGCAAGACCCACCTAAGAGAGAGAACTAAGCAGTCTGTGGTGAAACTGTGCTAAGGGACAGCCTGATGGAGCCAGGGCCAGAGCCCTCAAGAGGAGAACCTTAATACCCTGAAAGAAGAAGCAGAGAAAGCAGCACACATCCTTGTGGGCCAGAGGTTTCTGGAGCAGAGGTATCTTGATGGTGACTGACAAGCTGTCTAAACTAATTGAGGGATTGTGTCTCATGACTTGATGCTGCTATTTACTGCTTCTGGATTTTCACTGTCTTGTAAATGTTGTCTTCTGCTTCCCCCAATGTGATTCCCTAATAAACCTCACAACTATATTAAAAAAAATTCTGAAAAGTCTGAATGATTATTTGCAATGAATTGTAGACCCAGCAATTAGCAGAAGTAGGTACAGAAGACTAGAGGCCATTACAGACCTTATAAGTATCAGTTTTATAATGTGGATGTTGTTGAGGACAGTTGGCCTCTGTGGAGTTAGTAGTCAGCCTCAGCCATTCCCACACTGCCCTTGTTTACACATGGGCATTACTTTATTATTTACAGAGCAAGATTTTCTTCTAATGCTCTTCTCATCTCTCACCTAACTCAAGATCTGGTAGATATCAGGTAATCAAATAAAAGGTGGAAGACTCAAGCCAGGTACCAAACTCAATCCAAGTGTCACTATGTTAGACAACATGCCCACACTTTTTCAGTATAACTGTCATTAAAATGAAATTTGTCTGCCTCTTGTTTTCACATGGTCAACACCATTGCCTCTTGTTATGGATTGAACTATGTCACTCAGAAAGATACTCTGAAGTGCTAACCTCAGTCCTGGTGCATTCAGCTACATTTAAAAACAGGACCATTGAAAACGCTATCAGTTACATCCCGTCATTCTACCATCTGATTGATTCTGACTTATACCCACCCTCTAGTGAGTTTTCATGACTGTGAATCTTAATGGAAGGTGCAGCTGATGGGTTCAAAACACCAACTTTTCAGTTAGTAGCACAACATGTTTTGCAATATACCAGCTGAGCTCCTCACTGATATAAAGTGGGCTGCAATTATACCCAAATGGTGTCTCAATAAAAGAGAAGACCACAGAAAGAAAAAGGAACAATGATGGCAACGTGAAGATGTACACAGACACCCAAGATCACTTGATTTTACACCGACTGAGAAAAACAAGCAAAGACCTTCCCTTGCAGGCTTCAGAAGAAGCATAAGCCTGCTGATGATCGAAGTGTGGACTCTAGGCCTCCCTAATTGTGTAACAGCAAATTTCTGTTTTTACAAGGCAGCCACTTTATGGAGCAGTCACAGGAACCTCATACACAGTTCATGGTCATTAAGCACCCTGGCTGCGAGGTCTCTCCTGGTGGTTCAGCTCGTGTGCCTGCACCTACCTGACAGCCAGGATGTGCACGGGCTGTGAACGTTGGACTGTCTGCCGTGGAGACATCTGAGGAGGGAGCGCTTTCATTCCTGAGGTCAGCAGGGATCTACGGGGGTGCTGGCCATTCTGAAGGAGGGGCACTGTTTCTGACTGCATGCCGCAGGGTGGATACAGACTCTCAAAGGATGCGTTCATGTCATTTACCAGTGCTTCCAGGTCCACGTCATCCTCTGAATGGTTACGGGAACAAAAAAGAAGAAAAAAAAACAACAACCCAAAAACTCCTTAGCAACTGCAGGATGTTCCAGCTAAATGTGCACCTCAAATATCAGCCTTCAAAGAGGGTATAACTGATTTCAGGTCCACATTAGTATTGCAAGTAATAATATTATGATACTTATTATTATTTATCGGTAATTGACAGGGAATTTAAAAAGTTATAACCCTACCAAATATTTTAAAATTCATTTTCTCACTAGACGTTTAGTCCATACACAGGTATCATCTCATTCCTCTCTGGTTTTCAGCAGGTCTATTGAAAATGCAGAATACTGGGAGTCTTTTGCCATGTTCTTCTAAATTTGTTTGAGTCTAAGGTTTTGGTGGTATGGTCTGTAAGAGGTTGTCTTGCTAACCCCAAAGTCACATCTCTCTGTTTGGTATGAGGCTACCACTCGCTGTGGAGATAAAGATGGGAAATCTCTTTCTGTGCAATGTATGGTCTGGGAAAAACAACAGAGGGTCAGTTAGGAATCTGTTCTGACTTGATAGCAATAAGTTTTTTGATAATTCTAACAAAGGTGCTTATTCACTTTCTTGTATAAAGTTAAAACAGGGAGAGGATTCTACACACAGATGTTACTGAAACAGCATACAGTTGCTGCAAGCATTCTACACGGCTTACAACATGAGCTCCTCAGTTCAGTGAGGACCCAGTATGTGAGTTCTCCTCATACGGCCAACTGTGAATGTCTTGTTTAGTCCCCTAAATACTTGTGGATCAATAACCACTAATTTTTGAAAGCCTTCCTACAGGGCTACTGAAGTGGAAGAATTAAATAAACAGTGAATTGACCAGACAGATACCTCTGGAAGTGAATGTGAGGATTAGTATCTATTTAATGATAACTGCATGCTAAGCTCTCAGGTATCTATGAGATTGAAGAAATATTATTTGAAAAATAATACTGAAGTTGAGAGTAAAGCAATTCAGTATCTAAAATGTCACATGAAAGACTTCTAAGAATATATTCAATGTCTAAATATGGGTGAAATAACATGGCTAGAAATCCTATAAATAAAAAAGTTACTAATAATTATTTCCAAACTCAAATAACCCAAACCAAACCAGGTATTGTGATTTTTATCTCAAGTAACGGAGTTATACCTTTAACCTCTAATACATATTTACACTTATTTTCATTGTCATTGGCAAACAGAGGCTAGTTAAGTCTTAAAGTAGATACAAATGTAATGGAACAAATTCCCATTTGGTTCACTATTACTACCTAATGCCTTCCACAAACTCAGTGAAGTTTAGGGACCAGAAAAAAAAAATCAGAAAATCAATAGGACACAGGTGAAGTGGAGGTAGCAAGTTCACAGAAAACAATCTAATGCTTGTCTCCTTAACTGTTAATATACTCTTTAGTTTGCAGGACCATCTAGTGCCTTGTTTTTATTAAATAGATGATAAAAATGACAATGGATTCATTACTATGTTATTCTTGCATGGGAAACAAATGCTATTTACATTGTTTTCGAGGTACATCCTTAGAGTCATTCCTCTAAAGGTCAATAGATGGATCAGCTATAATATTATAACTTCTCTTGTCATTATCATCTTTCTTTCATCCTAATACTTAAGGTACAGTGCAAAGGAGCCAACCACTTGGGCATCAGAATGAGGTAAGGAGGGAAGCTTAAAATGCTAAAGCAAGGTAGTAGAAGGGGTAACTTACTACATAAGAGTAAACAGATTCCGTTCCTGAGAAGAAAAGATAAAGGATACTACTACTAAAAAACAAAGCAAACCAAAAACCTCAAAATCAAGATATGTGCAATAGTTGAAGATCTTGCACACATTTTCATCTGGAGAGGAACCAAAATCTGGCCACTGAAAGCATAAAAGCTACATTCTCTCAGCAAGCTGTTCTTCTTGACCTCTAAGTAATTACATTTTGTACAAATATAATAAAATTTCTCTACACACCAACTGAGTTTCAATTCCTATGTATTCCAGTCATATAAGCACAGCAATCCTGGGTTATGATAACTATGTATAATCTATTGCTATGGACAATCTCTGAAAAGCCTGTTATATTAAAAACTCTAACTGCTACAGAGTAAAAATGGACTCAAAATCAATCTCCATTAGGTTTTCAAGGCTGTAAAGCATTGCGCATCCTTCTTCTTCAGAGCTGCTGGTGGATTCAAACCTCGAGAGAGGAGCCACCTTTGAGTCAGCAGCACCATTCTCTGCAGACTATACTACAAAGCCCATTATTTAAAAAACAAACAAAATCCCCTGCAAGTGCATAAGATGCGTTGTTATAAGAAATATCTACAACTTTATTATGCATATCAAGACATTGCTATTATTACTGTTGTTGTTGTTGTTGTTGCTGTTATGTGCCGTCGAGTCGCCTGCGACTCATAGCGACCCTATGTACAACAGCCCTAAACTCCGCTCTGTCCTGTGCCAAACGCACTGTCTCTG